GATCCAGTTCCCTAGATCAAGAGCCTCTCACCAGCGTCAAGGGACCTCCCTTGAGGGGAAATCTTAAGTAAATTTAAAAAAACAGATCAGTGCAGTTCCTTCCAAGATGGTTTGTGTATAATGAACAAATGGAATGACAGATGGAATGACAGATGGAATGACAGATGGAATGACAGTTGGAATGACAAATGGAATGACAGATGGAATGACAGATGGAATGACAAATGGAATGACAGATGGAATGACAGATGGAATGACAGATGGAATGACAGATGGAATGACAAATGGAATAACAGATGGAATGACAGATGGAATGACAAATGGAATGACAGATGGAATGACAGATGGAATGACAAATGGAATGACAGATGGAATGACAGATGGAATGACAAATGGAATAACAGATGGAATGACAGATGGAATGACAAATGGAATGACAGATGGAATGACAGATGGAATGACAAATGGAATAACAGATGGAATGACAGATGGAATGACAAATGGAATGAAAACAGATGGAATGACAAATGGAATGACAGATGGAATGACAATAGAATGACAGATGGAATGACAGATGGAATGAACAGATGGAATGACAGATGGAAGAAATGGACAAATGGAATAACAGATGGAATGACAGATGGAATGACAGATGGAATGACAGATGGAATGACAAATGGAATAACAGATGGAATGACAGATGGAATGACAAATGGAATGACAGATGGAATGACAGATGGAATGACAAATGGAATAACAGATGGAATGACAGATGGAATGACAAATGGAATGACAGATGGAATGACAGCTGGAATGACAGATGGAATGACAAATGGAATGACAGATGGAATGACAGATGGAATGACAAATGGAATGACAGATGGAATGACAGATGGAATGACAGCTGGAATGACAGATGGAATGACAAATCGAATGACAGATGGAATGACAAATGTTATTTGGAAATACTGAAAGAAATCGGTGTAAAGGAAATGAGAGAAAATGATGTGAATAAAGTGAGGAATGGAGGAGGTTGTAAACATACATTGTCACCGGAAAAGCATATACTTGGAGAGGGTTTCGGGGGGGTCAACGCCCCTGCTGCCAGGTTTGTGACCAGGCTTCATGGTGGATCAGGGCCTGATCAACCAGGCTGCTACTGTTGACCGCACACAACTCGACGTACGAACCACGCCCCCCGCGGGGGACGTTGACCCCCCGGTCCACCCTCCAGGTATACCACCAGTTATAAAATACCTCTCAGATATGCAGACTCTTAAATGTTAGCAAGGCTAATTGGAACCTCTTAAATGTTAGCAAGGCTAATTGGAACCTTTTAAATGTTAGCAAGGCTAATTGGAACCTTTTAAATGTTAGCAAGGCTAATTGGAACCTCTGAAATGTTAGCAAGGCTAATTGGAACCTTTTAAATGTTAGCAAGGCTAATTGGAACCTCTTAAATGTTAGCAAGGCTAATTGGAACCTTTTAAATGTTAGCAAGGCTAATTGGAACCTTTTAAATGTTAGCAAGGCTAATTGGAACCTCTGAAATGTTAGCAAGGCTAATTGGAACCTTTTAAATGTTAGCAAGGCTAATTGGAACCTCTTAAATGTTAGCAAGGCTAATTGGAACCTTTTAAATGTTAGCAAGGCTAATTGGAACCTTTTAAATGTTAGCAAGGCTAATTGGAACCTTTTAAATGTTAGCAAGGCTAATTGGAACCTCTTAAATGTTAGCAAGGCTAATTGGAACCTTTTAAATGTTAGCAAGGCTAATTGGAACCTTTTAAATGTTAGCAAGGCTAATTGGAACCTTTTAAATGTTAGCAAGGCTAATTGGAACCTTTTAAATGTTAGCAAGGCTAATTGGAACCTCTTAAATGTTAGCAAGGCTAATTGGAACCTCTTAAATGTTAGCAAGGCTAATTGGAACCTCTTAAATGTTAGCAAGGCTAATTGGAACCTTTTAAATGTTAGCAAGGCTAATTGGAACCTTTTAAATGTTAGCAAGGCTAATTGGAACCTTTTAAATGTTAGCAAGGCTAATTGGAACCTTTTAAATGTTAGCAAGGCTAATTGGAACCTTTTAAATGTTAGCAAGGCTAATTGGAACCTTTTAAATGTTAGCAAGGCTAATTGGAACCTTTTAAATGTTAGCAAGGCTAATTGGAACCTCTTAAATGTTAGCAAGGCTAATTGGAACCTTTTAAATGTTAGCAAGGCTAATTGGAACCTTTTAAATGTTAGCAAGGCTAATTGGAACCTTTTAAATGTTAGCAAGGCTAATTGGAACCTTTTAAATGTTAGCAAGGCTAATTGGAACCTTTTAAATGTTAGCAAGGCTAATTGGAACCTCTTAAATGCTAGCAAGGCTAATTGGAACCTCTTAAATGTTAGCAAGGCTAATTGGAACCTCTTAAATGTTAGCAAGGCTAATTGGAACCTTTTAAATGTTAGCAAGGCTAATTGGAGCCTTTTAAATGTTAGCAAGGCTAATTGGAACCTCTGAAATGTTAGCAAGGCTAATTGGAACCTTTTAAATGTTAGCAAGGCTAATTGGAACCTCTTAAATGTTAGCAAGGCTAATTGGAACCTCTTAAATGTTAGCAAGGCTAATTGGAACCTCTTAAATGTTAGCAAGGCTAATTGGAACCTTTTAAATGTTAGCAAGGCTAATTGGAACCTTTTAAATGTTAGCAAGGCTAATTGGAACCTTTTAAATGTTAGCAAGGCTAATTGGAACCTTTTAAATGTTAGCAAGGCTAATTGGAACCTTTTAAATGTTAGCAAGGCTAATTGGAACCTTTTAAATGTTAGCAAGGCTAATTGGAACCTCTTAAATGTTAGCAAGGCTAATTGGAACCTCTTAAATGTTAGCAAGGCTAATTGGAACCTCTTAAATGTTAGCAAGGCTAATTGGAACCTTTTAAATGTTAGCAAGGCTAATTGGAGCCTTTTAAATGTTAGCAAGGCTAATTGGAACCTCTGAAATGTTAGCAAGGCTAATTGGAACCTTTTAAATGTTAGCAAGGCTAATTGGAGCCTTTTATATGTTAGCAAGGCTAATTGGAACCTCTGAAATGTTAGCAAGGCTAATTGGAACCTTTTAAATGTTAGCAAGGCTAATTGGAACCTCTTAAATGTTAGCAAGGCTAATTGGAACCTTTTAAATGTTAGCAAGGCTAATTGGAACCTCTCAAATGTTAGCAAGGCTAATTGGAACCTTTTAAATGTTAGCAAGGCTAATTGGAACCTCTTAAATGTTAGCAAGGCTAATTGGAACCTTTTAAATGTTAGCAAGGCTAATTGGAACCTCTTAAATGTTAGCAAGGCTAATTGGAACCTCTTAAATGTTAGCAAGGCTAATTTGAACCTTTTAAATGTTAGCAAGGCTAATTGGAACCTTTTAAATGTTAGCAAGGCTAATTGGAACCTTTTAAATGTTAGCAAGGCTAATTGGAACCTCTTAAATGTTAGCAAGGCTAATTGGAACCTCTTAAATGTTAGCAAGGCTAATTGGAACCTCTTAAATGTTAGCAAGGCTAATTGGAACCTCTTAAATGTTAGCAATGCTAATTGGAACCTTTTAAATGTTAGCAAGGCTAATTGGAACCTTTTAAATGTTAGCATGGCTAATTGGAACCTCTTAAATGTTAGCAAGGCTAATTGGAACCTCTTAAATGTTAGCAAGGCTAATTGGAACCTCTTAAATGTTAGCAAGGCTAATTAGAACCTCTTAAATGTTAGCAAGGCTAATTGGAACCTCTTACATATTAGCAAGGCTAATTGGAACCTCTTAAATGTTAGCAAGGCTAATTGGAACCTCTTAAATGTTAGCAAGGCTAATTGGAACCTCTTAAATGTTAGCAAGGCTAATTGGAACCTCTTAAATGTTAGCAAGGCTAATTGGAACCTCTTAAATGTTAGCAAGGCTAATTGGAACCTCTTAAATGTTAGCAAGGCTAATTGGAACCTCTTAAATGTTAGCAAGGCTAATTGGAACCTCTTAAATGTTAGCAAGGCTAATTGGAACCTCTTAAATGTTAGCAAGGCTAATTGGAACCTCTTAGACGTAAAGTGTCATAAGGGCAGTTGAGTGATGTCTCGTCTACCATGATTCCAAACAAGAAAATGCCTAACAGAGATGAAAATACGAGTTTACGTGAAGACTAGACATGCCCACGGTGGCTGATAGAAGGGAATGAGGAGACATGATTACTATCAATAAAGCTAGAGAGAACATAAGTACATAAAGAAGACGTCTTGGTACCTACAGCAAGTGGCAGCAAATCCAGATTAAAAAAACAAAAAAACAGGAACCAAACACACACAAACATTTATCTTTACAATGTGGCAGATCAATACAATAAATGAAATTAAATAAATGAGGCAATAGTAAGTTCTACAACCATTTTATATTTGAAAAACTAAATGATGAAAAAATTATTGAAGACGATGCATCATGAGGCAAACTCTGTCTTGTAGCTGTAAATACGTATATGTATAGGCGTTTGGATGTGTCTGATTATTCATGTACCGGCTTTGTTGTGAATGATGGATGATGACTGGGCATAAGACGTACTGCAAGAGAGTAGTCCTGGGCGTATCGGACCACTGTCTTATGTCCTGTGTACGACGCACTACAGTGACTCTCTGGTGCTTCATAACCCACTAACAGATACCGCTAATATTTTCTCAAACGACCCATTTCCAGCAAACACAAAAAGCCTATTCCCATACACACACACACACGAGCCGACTGAAGCAGTGACTACTCAACTCTCCCGCTCGTTGCGATATTCCAGCAAAAACCAACATCCTATTTGGCTTTAAGCCAGTAGTATTATTTTAGCCTAAACTTTATGTTCTCACACTGAATAAAATCTACAACACAATGGCAAGAACAGTTTATAACTATCCCAAGAACTGGAGATGTAATTAGGCGATATTGGTATCCATAATAGATTATAATTTAGTACTGAAGTGAAAGTTCCACTTACTGTTAATAGACTCGAGTGTAGCACCGTCGGTGTTCAGCAGTGTCCAGGTGAACATTAGCACGAAGAATGGAACCATTGTGATGAACACTTCTGATGGAAAGTTAGTTAATGAAGCCAGTCCACTGAGCACTTAACAAAATCTATATTGTCTTATTGACTAGAAAGAAAGAAGGCGCCTTCAGTTCCAGGCGAGTACAGATGACCCAGGCTGATGGGCTTAACCAGTTCCAGGCGAGTACAGATGACCCAGGGTGCCGGGCTTAACCAGTTCCAGGCGAGTACAGATGACCCAGGCTGACGGGCTTAACCAGTTCCAGGCGAGTACAGATGACCCAGGCTGACGGGCTTAACCAGTTCCAGGCGAGTACAGATGACCCAGGCTGGCGACCTTAACCAGTTCCAGGCGAGTACGGATGACCCAGGGTGGCGACCTTAACCAGTTCCAGGCGAGTACAGATGACCCAGGCTGGCGACCTTAACCAGTTCCAGGCGAGTACAGATGACCCAGGCTGACGGGCTTAACCAGTTCCAGGCGAGTACAGATGACCCAGGCTGACGGGCTTAACCAGTTCCAGGCGAGTACAGATGACCCAGGCTGGCGACCTTAACCAGTTCCAGGCGAGTACGGATGACCCAGGGTGGCGACCTTAACCAGTTCCAGGCGAGTACAGATGACCCAGGCTGGCGACCTTAACCAGTTCCAGGCGAGTACAGATGACCCAGGCTGACGGGCTTAACCAGTTCCAGGCGAGTACAGATGACCCAGGGTGGCGACCTTAACCAGTTCCAGGCGAGTACAGATGACCCAGGCTGGCGACCTTAACCAGTTCCAGGCGAGTACAGATGACCCAGGCTGACGGGCTTAACCAGTTCCAGGCGAGTACAGATGACCCAGGGTGGCGACCTTAACCAGTTCCAGGCGAGTACAGATGACCCAGGCTGACGGGCTTAACCCACCATTACAAACAGAAATATTTACAATCCTTTTTTATCCTTCAGAGTTCGACTTTTCTTTTTTTTTGCACGGTTTGAATCGGTTTTTACAGACAACTGAAATTAAGTTATTAACACTGCTGGAACAGTTTATTTGTTGCTATGTTGCCTCTCATCAGCTGTGTACTCCAGCAACATATTTCACCTTTGTTTTTATTTAAATATTTGTAGATTGATGATCAAAGTTCCACAAGATTGATCGTACCATAGACAGTAACACAATAAAACATAATTCAGTCTAACATCAGTACATGTGTACACGACTCTCCTCCCAGCCTGGTGTTTACAGTGACTCTCACACTACGAAGACAACACACTGGGATCACTAGATTAAAGTCACTATACCACAACTAGTGGCAGCCACTGAGACAGCAATCACATAGTCACATTGCAATTCTTTCTCGTGTACTGGCCCAGTTGTGTTTTTTCAGCCCCAGACTGCAACAACGAGGGACCAGCCAGTTACCACTGTAAAGATTTTGTGCTCCCATGTTCGTATTTCTTGTCTTAAGAAAAAAGTTGTGTACACATTAAACAAGACAATAATACCTCCGGTATTTTGCTGCGAGTGATGATTTACTTTCGTTTTCAATTAATAAATTATGTACAAATTGTTATGTATGATACACATAACCGATGACTTTTTCACACGTCTCTCTAAATCTAATTCAATATAACTGGTTGCCAGAAATTCACCTGTGAATATAATTTCCAGTTTCCTGTATATAATGAACACTGATGTGCTGACACATCTGGATCTAACGTGATATCTCGTAAGCACTAAATTATACGATAATTTTGAGCTTTGCAATGTTGTTTAATAATCCCACGTATTTATTTGTACCTGATTCACAAGGGAAATTTTTTTTAACTCCTTCCTAAGACGAATTGCTTTCAGTTACATCCATAATAACAGCGTTCATAACCAACAGCCTCGGAACAAGGCATTTATTATCATTGTTCACTTATTGGTCAATAATTCAATGTAACCTTAACATTTATAACAAGTTAACCCTTAAACAGGTTTGCGGTAGCATGTGAGCTCCGCTACTAGTTTGATTAGATAAAAACACATCAATGTGAAGCAATCCAGGGAAGTAGAGAAGTGTGTGCCGAGGCAGCGAGGAACACAGCCACACACAGCACACCCTCACTCCACCAGGTCTGAGGACCAACTAATGGGTGACGCTCGTACTCAACCTCACAACCCAGCCTCGGTAGTTGCCGGTCCTCACTATACTGAGTTACACTATGGCTGCGGTCAGTGAGAGGTATCCCCAGTACTTAATAACCCTTGTCTTGTATACCTCGATTATGTGAGGTATCCCCCATGTCACATAACCCCTGTACCCTTTACGTCAATGATCCAAGTGAGGTATCCCCACATTAAGGGAGGTATCCACCATCTCACATAACATCAGCCCCCTATAACTCAGTCATCCAAGTGAGGTATCCCCCATATAACAACCCCAACCCCACGTACCGTAATGATCCGAGTGAGGATATTGACGTATAACAGACATAGAGGTTAGTGCATCTTAACTGCATCTCACGTAATCTAACCGAGAATAACAAACATGAAATCTATTAAGGGAGAGAAGGTTGTGTGACACTGGCTGTCAGTGATGTGGAAGACAAGAGTTTGTTGTGACAGCACCGCTGTTACTTGAGTTACCTGGTCTTTAAGAACTGCTGCCCCACTGCAACAATAATTGCTGTCCCACTGCAACAATAACTGCTACCCCACTTTAACAATAACTGCTACCCCACTGGAACAATAACTGCTGCACCATTGCAACAATACTGCCTCACTGTAATAACTGCTGCCCCACTGCAACAATAATTGCTGCCCCACTGCAACAATAACTGCTACCCCACTGCGACAATAACTGCTGCCCCACTGCAACAATAACTGCTGCCCCACTGCAACAATAACTGCTGCCCCACTGCAACAATAACTGCTGCCCCACTGCAACAATAACTGCTGCCCCACTGTAACAATAACTGCTGCCCCACTGCAACAATAATTGCTGCCCCACTGCAACAATAACTGCTACCCCACTGCGACAATAACTGCTGCCCCACTGTAACAATAACTGCTGCCCCACTGCAACAATAACTGCTGCCCCACTGCAACAATAACTGCTGCCCCACTGCAACAATAACTGCTGCCCCACTGTAACAATAGCTGCTGCCCCACTGTAACAATAACTTCTGCCCCACTGTAACAATAACTACTGCCCCACTGCAACAATATCTGCTGCCCCACTGAAACAATAACTGCTGCACCACTGCAACAATAACTGCTGCACCACTGCAACAATAACTGCTGCCCCACTGTAATAACTTCTGCCTCACTGTAACAATAACTGCTGCCCCACTGCAACAATAACTGCTGTATCACTGTAACAATAACTGCTGCGCCACTGCAACAATAACTGCTGCACCACTGTAACAATAACTACTGCCCCACTGCAACAATAACAGCTGCCCCACTGTAATAAAAACTGCTGCCCCACTGTAACAATAACTGCTGCCCCACTGCAACAATAACTGCTGCCCCACTGTAACAATAACTGCTGCACCACTGCAACAATAATTGCTGCCCCACTTCAACAATAACTGCTACCCCACTGTAACAATAGCTGCTACCCCACTGGAACAATAACTACTGCCCCACTGTAACTAACTACTGCCTCACTGCAACAATAACTGCTCCCCCACTGTAACAATAACTGCTGCCCCACTAACAATAACTGCTGCCCCACTGTAACAATAACTGCTGCCCCACTGTAATAACTGCTGCCCCACTGCAACAATACCTGCTGCCCTACTGCAACAATAACTGCTACCCCACTGCAACAATAACTGCTGCCCCACTGTAACAATAACTGCTGCCCCACTGCAACAATAACTGCTGCCCCACTGTAACAATAACTGCTGCCCCACCGCAACAATAACTGCTACCCCACTGCAACAATAACTGCTGCCCCACTGTAACAATAACTGCTGCCCCACTGTAATAATAACTGCTGCCCCACTGCAACAATAACTGCTGCCCCACTGTAACAATGACTGCTGCCCCACTGTAACAATACCTGCTGCTACACTGTAACAATGCTGCCCCACTGTAACAATGACTGCTGCCCCACTGTAACAATAACTGCTGCCCCACTGTAACAATGACTGCTGCCCCACTGTAACAATAACTTCTGCCCCACTGTAATAATAACTACTGCCCCACTGTAACAATAACTGCTGCCCCACTGTAACAATGACTGCTGCCCCGCTGTAACAATAACTGCTGCACCACTGTAATAATAACTGCTGCCCCACTGCAACAATAACTGCTGCCCCACTGCGACAATAACTGCTGCATCACTGTAACAATAACTGCTGCGCCACTAACAATAACTGCTGCCCCACTGTAACAATAACTGCTGCCCCACTGTAATAACTGCTGCCCACTGCAACAATACCTGCTGCCCTACTGCAACAATAACTGCTACCCCACTGTAACAATAACTGCTGCCCCACTAACAATAACTGCTGCCCAATGTAACAATAACTGCTGCCCCACTGTAATAACTGCTGCCCACTGCAACAATACCTGCTGCCCTACTGCAACAATAACTGCTACCCCACTGCAACAATAACTGCTGCCCCACTGTAACAATAACTGCTGCCCCACTGTAACAATAACTGCTGCCCCACCGCAACAATAACTGCTACCCCACTGCAACAATAACTGCTGCCCTACTGCAACAATAACTGCTGCCCTACTGCAACAATAACTGCTACCCCACTGCAACAATAACTGCTGCCCTACTGCAACAATAACTGCTGCACCACTGCAACAATAACTGCTGCCCCACTGTAACAATAACTGCTGCCCCACTGTAATAATAACTAGTGGTAGATCTGTTATTCATTTTAAGATACTTGTTAATGTGCTGAATATCCCAATCCATCGTCATAATAATAAACAGTAATTCACTATTATTAAGACAGTCAAATGAGTGACTGTTTAAGAGCCTTAAACAGTTATTACATAACTTATACTTCAGAATTTATGGCTGAATTTATTTTACCGAGAGAAAATCTAACCCATCATTATCCAGCTTAAACTATACCCTAAATAATGTTTATCAAAAGTTTTCTGTAAATTCGTATGTGGGAAATACACATAGACTTGTTTAAGAATGGGCAGGACGTTCACGGTGAAAAATTAACAATACAAATGCTGGCACCTGAACCCATGAGCCGCTGGTGTTGCAAGACGCCAGTCCAGTGACTGAAGGATCTTAGTACCGCTGGTCAACGAGTCTTAGTACCGCTGGTCAACGAGTCTTAGTACCGTTGGTCAACGAGTCTTAGTACCGTTGGTCAACGAGTCTTAGTACCGTTGGTCAACGAGTCTTAGTACCGTTGGTCAACGAGTCTTAGTACCGTTGGTCAACGAGTCTTAGTACCGTTGGTCAACGAGTCTTAGTACCGCTGGTCAACGAGTTTTAGTACCGTTGGTCAACGAAACTTAGTACCGCTGGTCAACGAGTTTTAGTACCGTTGGTCAACGAAACTTAGTACCGCTGGTCAACGAATCTTAGTACCGCTGGTCAACGAATCTTAGTACCGCTGGTCAACGAATCTTAGTACCGCTGGTCAACGAGTCTTAGTACCGCTGGTCAACGGCTTTCGTTATATTAGTTGTCCGTATTACAGATTTTTAGCACACCTACACCACACACTTACAAATATATAATCTAGTGCCGAATAGGTAAAATGGGTAAATTAGCAAGAACTCATTTAAAATTAGGTCCTTTCTAAAATTTCCTCTTATACGTTTAAAGATATATTTTTTTCATTTATGTTAATGTAAAAATTAATAATTTTGTACCAAAAGAATCTTAGAAAACTTACCTAACCTTATTATAAAAAGCTCAATTTAATTTAGCCTAATCCAACTAAATATATTTTAGATAAGTTTACAATAATTTAATAATAAATAAACACAATGAAATGTATTTTTTCGTTAGGTTCAGAATGATTTTTGCGACATTAACAAATTTTCCCTTGCCTTATTCGGCAAGAAGAGCGTTGCTATTTAAGCCAAAATCGCAAGTTTTACCTATTCGGCACGACAATATATTTTTTTATTTTTTTTATTATTATCACACCGGCCGATTCCCACCAAGGCAGGGTGGCCCGAAAAAGAAAAACTTTCACCATCATTCACTCCATCACTGTCTTGCCAGAAGGGTGCTTTACACTACAGTTTTTAAACTGCAACATTAACACCCCTCCTTCAGAGTGCAGGCACTGTACTTCCCATCTCCAGGACTCAAGTCCGGCCTGCCGGTTTCCCTGAATCCCTTCATAAGTGTTACTTTGCTCACACTCCAACAGCATATATATATATATATATATAACATATATATATATATATATATTATATATATATATATATATATATATATATATATATATATATATATATATATATATATAAAGTGTAGTGAACAGTTGTCAGTGCTCAGTAATAACCCACATGGAGACAAAAACTCAGAAGATTAATTGATCTGTATATTTCGACCCCCTTCTGGGGTCCTCTTCAGCAGATACACAAGTGAAAGAAGAACGCGATTTTATAGGGAAGGTTGCACCTCTCACTGCAAGATCGTAAGGAACAGGTTATGTCTTGATATGCAATATAACCACAACTAAGTGTCATTACTCAAACATTTTTATGATCTCACCAATATAAGTCCTCAGTAAACAACTGTTGCATGAACAAACAGAAGCCTGGACGAGTACACGTAGTGGAGTCCATATAGCAGGTCCAGTACTCTAGGTACTCAGGAAGAGTTTACAATAGGATGAGTGTGAAAGCAACGCTTGTGTGATGGTCTGTATGAAGACCACCAACTGTGACCTTACTGTCTCATCCCACAGCCTCAGGAGCTTTCATGGTACATCTATTCTCATACCACTCAAAGCCATATAGTCCATAAACTCAAGATAAGTCGTAATAAACGACCACCACCACTTCCAATATCTCCATCAATCCCCTCCATCAATCCCCTCCACCAACCACCCCCACCCCAACCACCACTACCACTGTGACCACCACCACCACCACCCGCGCGATCTCTCTTACGTGA